GACTATATTTTTTTTAACAAAAGATTTCATCTGTTGATGTTCAAAGCACTGTTTTATCTAAGCCTGAAACGAACCAACTTTGGAGAAATGAATTGTCAAACTACTGAGATGATTTTGTTGGGTTCATAATACCAGCACACATCTGAAGGGAATAGCTATTTCCACGTCAATCATCCAGGAAGGAGGATAATCCTGGGGCCCATGCTAGGAGTGATGTGAATGTGAATGTAAAGCAGCTTGTTATTATTATTTTTTTTTTGATGGAGTTCAGCTCTGTCACCCAGGCTGGAGTGCAGTGGTGCAATGACAGCTCACCGCAACCTTCGCCTCCAGGGTTCAGGCAATTCTCATGCTTCAGACTCCTGCATAGCTGGGATTACAGGCACCTGCCACCATGCCCAGCTAATTTTGTTGTTGTTGTATTTTTAGTAGAGATGGAGTTTCACCATGTTGGTCAGTCTAGTCTCGAACTCCTGACCTCGAGACCAGCCTGACCAACATGGTAAAACCCTATCTCTACTAACATGATGATTAGCCCACCTCAGCCTCCCAAAGTACTGGGATTACAGACGTGAGCCACCGTGCCCACTTGTTCTCTTTCTAAGTATTAGAGCCAGGTGGACCTGGCCTCCAAAGGTGAAAGAGGCTGGAGAATCTTGGGGCTGGGGAATGACCTGCCCGTGTCTGATGGAAATCACCAGAGCTGCAGAGAGCTCCAGCTGGAAAAGGAACAGCAGGGAAGATCCTGGACCAGAGGGCTCTGAGGACAATGTGAGCCACAGCTACAGAGAGTGACACCCTCTTCCTCTCTGATCCTTCGGGAAGGTCTTTCTCAAAATCATATCCTCATGTCACAGTCTCAGCTGTGCCATGAATTGGGAAAGTCCTGTCCCACATTTCAGGAATGGGCCAGAAAAGAGCTGTGCCCTGAAATGATTGGGACAGAGAGGACACCTGGGCCCAGCAACTTCAGGAGGATAGAAACGGGGTCTGAGACCAAGGGGATGACAGCAAGGCAGTAAAGGCCACTTGGTCAGAGGGAAACCAAGGACTGACTTCAGAACAATATGAGGCAATGCCTGGGACACACTTAGAAATAGGTGCGAGGAGGGGAATTTCAAGGGTGCTGATTTCCAGAAGTTATCCAGATCTGGATTCAAGTCATAGTCATTTGAACATAGAAAGTCTGACTTTTCTCTGCTGGAGCATTGGCCATACAGGTATTCCTCATGAGTTAACTTTTAATTGAAAATAGCTTGTCTTGAATATAAGTAAGATTTTATGTGTTCCTAAAATGCCTCTGGGAAAGGAAACAAAGACTCAAAGCACCAGAAATAGCAATAACTTTAAAAATTCAGGCTCAGAGAGTGCCAGTGAGTCCTCTCCACCAAACCCAAGAGGCTGCTTCAATGTACAGAAAGTACTTGAGTGCCATCGAGTGGCCAGAGTGAGTAGCTGTTTAGAAGGATAAAAAGGAAAGTCTTCAAAAGACAATCAGTGTCTGTAGTATTTATTGTGCTGATATGGGCCAGGCACTGATTTAGGCATAGGCGATACAGTGAACAAAACAAGCTAAGTCCTGTCTCCAGGGACCTTAACATTCTATTGGCAGGAGGAGGTGACAGAAGGTAAACAAGTCTATAATATCAGGTGGTAATAAGTGTCAATGCAGAAAAATGGAGCAGGGTCTGGGTGCGGTGGCTTATGCCTGTAATCCCAGCACTTTGGGAGGCCGAGGTGAGGGGATCACGAGGTCAGGAGATTAAGACCATCCTGGCCAACATGGTGAAACCCCGTCTCTACTAAAAAAAAAAAAATACGAAAAAAAAAAAAAATACAAAAATTAGCTGGGTGTGGTAGTGCATGCCTGTAATCCAAGCTACTCAGTAGGCTGAGGCATGAGAATCGCTTGAACCCAGGAGGTGGAGGTTATAGTAAGCTGAGATTGTGCCACTGCACTCCAGCCTGACAACAGAGCGAGATTCCATCTTAAAAAAAAAAAAAAATGAAGCAGGGAATGGAGGAGTACTCCTCTGAATATCTGTCGAAACCATTCCAAGGCAATGGAAACAATACTAGTGCAAAGGCCCTGGAGTGAGAATATTCTTGGTGTATTCAAAGAACAGGGAAGAGACTAAGAGAACCCAGAGCAGAGTAAGGGAGGGGGACAGTGTAGGAGATAATGCTGGAGATATATGAGGGGCTAGATCATGCAACCCCCGGGAGCCACTGGGAGGACTTCAGGGGACTTGGGAAGTTGGTTTTTGTTTTGGGGGCGTTTTTTAAGAATGAGTTTCACTCTTGTCACCCTAGCTGGAGTACAATGGCGTGATCTTGGCTCACTGAAATATCTGCCCTCCCAGGTTCAAGCAATTCTCCTCCCTCAGCCTCCTGAGTAGCTGGAATTACAGGTGCCTGCCACCACGCCGGGCTAATTATTTGTATTATTAGTTGAGACAGGGTTTTACCATGTTGGCCAGGCTAGTCTCAGACTCCTGAACTCAAGTGATCCACCCACCTTGGCCTCCCGTGGGGTTACAGGCGTGAGCCACTGTGCCCGGTCGGATTTGGGGAGCTTTTTCGTATTATTTTATAGGGACAGGGTCTTGCTGTGTTGCCCAGGCTGGTCTTGAACTCCTGGCCTCAAGTGATCCTCCCACCTTGGCCTCCCAAAGTGCTCGGATTACAGGCATGAGTCATCGTGCCTTTGGTTGGACTTTGGTTTTTATTCAGAGTGAGATGTGAGTATGGGAAAGTCATGAGCTGAGAAGTGACCTGACCTAATTTATGTTTTAAGTGGATAATCCTGGCTGCTGGACTGAGCCTAGACAGTAAAGTGATAGTGTCAGCATGGGTGGGGGAGACTTGGGAGGCTAGCACAGTGATCCCAGTAAGAGACAATAGAGGGCTAGACCAGCAGCCCCCCTGGGCATGGTGGGAAGGGTCAGACTTATGATCTATTTAATAGGTTGAGTGGATCTCCAGTGGCCACTGATTTAATCAATTATGCCTATGAAGTGAAAACTCAAAAAAAAAATCCCACAGTTTTGTTTGTTTGGGGTTTGGAGAGCTCCCAGGTTAGTGAAGCAGGGAGGGGCAGGGAGAATGAGGTCCCAGGAGGGCAAGGTATCGCTGTGCCCCTCCCCACCCACACCTTGACCTCAGCATCTCTTCCACTGGGCCATTCCTGAGCTGTATACTTCATCATGAATCAATAATAATAAACAAAGTGCATTTCTCAGTCCCGTGAGTCATTCCAACAAATTATTGAACCTGCCAGTGGCTGTGGGAACCCCCAACTTTGTCACCAAGTCAGACAGAGAGGTGCCAGTGGTCTGGGCACCCCATTTGCAACTGGCATCTGATATGAGGCCAACTCTTCACTGAGCCCCTAAACCTGTGGTGTTTGATGCTGACTCCAAGCAGTTAGTATATAGAATTGCACTGCAGAAAACCAGCTGGTGTCAGAATTGGCTGGCGTGAGGAGGAAAAAAACCCCACACAGCCCTCCAGGCTCCAGGCCATTCCTCCCGCCACATGGGGTCTCGGGGTCCTTAACGGAGTGGTCAGACCCGCCTCCTCGCCTCCCCCCACATCATCCCACTTTTAGCACAGCCCTTTTCCACTTCTGGTCAGTCTAACGTTAGAATGCCCTACCATGTACTTATTAGCCATTTTTTAAAACTAACATTTATACAATTTATTTAGGCTGGGCACAGAGGCTTTGTATTGTATAAATGTAATAATTTATAATTGTATAAATGTAATCCCAACACTGAGAGGCCGAGGTGGGCAGATCACCTGAGTCAAGAGTTTGAGACCAGCCTGGCTAACATGGTGAAACCTTATCTCTACTAAAAATACAAAAATATTAGCCAGGCGCAGTGGCAAGTGCCTGTAATCCCAGCTGCCCACGAGGCCAAGGCAGGAGAATTGCTGGAACCCAAGAGGTGGAGGAAAGGTTGCAATGAGCCAAGATCTTGCCACTGCACTCTAGCCTGGGTGTCTCTGTCTCTAGACAGAGAGTGACTCTGTCTCAAAAATAAATAAATAAATTATATATATATATATATATATATATATATATATATATATATATAAAGGTTACTAAGCCCTTTTGCTGAATTGAAGCCTCTTAGTAAACCTATGATGTCCCATTTAATAGATGAGCAAACTGAGGCTCAAAGAAATAAATCAGGCACGCAAGGAGCCCTTGTTCAAGTAAGCTGTGGGCTGAACCCTGGGCTTTGCCAGTCCAGGTGAAACCAAAGCATCTCCAGAAATTCCTGGTGGTGTGTTACATCAGCAAATGAGTTGGGTAATGTCATTACTCATCCTGGAGTCAGAAGGATCTTGCAGATTCAACAAAAGAAGTCTGCACCTAGCTCCCTGAGGCCTGCTTGCAAGAATAAGGAAGGGGCTATTCTGCTTTCAGGTGAGAATGTTCACCAGCTAAGTGCTGGGCTGCCCACAAGGCAAACAGCCCCCTGGGCCTAGGACCCATGCTTCAGTGCCCCCGGTAGGATGGCAGGACATTCAGTACAACTCAAGAAGCCCCCAAAACCATGAGAGGCTGGGGAAAAATGCTCCCTGGCCCAGCTCTAATGTTTCCCAGTAAGGAGCAGCCCTGGCAGACACAGGGAGTCCCACTCATCCTGAGAGGCTGAGCCTGGGCTGCAAACACAACTGCCTGGAGAGTCTGCCTCCTAGCTCTGCAGACAGGCTGTAGATGTTAACTGGCAGAGTGCGCACATGGAGATGCACGCACCGTGTGTAGTATGGGCCTGTACCTGCTGCAGCATCAGCTAGTCTAAGCCTCTACCCTTGGTCTACCTATAGACACTGTGTGGCCCATCTGGTTATGTGGCTCTGATCCTGGTCTAGCCAGGCCTATTTTGACCCTACCTCCTGGCCACACCCCTTGTGGGTTTCCTCTGGATGACTTTTCCTTCCTGCTCTGGCTGACTGGGGACTGTTCTTGCTGGTTGGTGTTCCAGGACCAGGAGAGGTCTGAAGAGACCTGAAAACAAGCAGCCCTGGACTCAGCTCTGGGTTCTGAAAGCCCATTCCCTGCTCTGCAGCTCTTCCCACCCCACCTCTTCTCAGCCTTGCAGCTCAAGTGTTGATCTCAGAAGCCCAGGACCCAGGAGAAGGAAGAATCTGAGGAACGCAGAACAGTGAGCGTTGCCCACACCCCGTACTCCATCACCACATCTCCCTTCACCCTCACCCTCCCTGCCTGGCCCTAGACCCCATCCCAGCACCTCCATATCAGCTGACTTCTTCCAATGTCCCGCAGGACCCTCTGGGCTCCTCCCTCCTCTGACTTTTCCTACCACTCCTCTTCTATCAGCATCTATCTGCAGGTGCCCTGGGGTTTATAAAACTGGGTTCTGAATGCTGAATAAGAGACAGTAAGAGCCAAGGCAAAGGAGAGCACTGTTCTTTGCCTGCCTGATACCCTCACCACCCATAAACATCCCCCAGATACCCCTTTAACTCTGAGACAGAGATGGCTGGTGGAGCCTGGGGCCGCCTGGCCTGTTACTTGGAGCTCCTGAAGGAGGAGGATCTGAAGAAGTTCCAGCTTCTGCTGACCAATAAAGTGCACTCCAGGGGCTCTTTGGGTGAGTCACCTGCTCAACCAGAGAAAATGAGTGGCATGCAGGTGGCCTCACACCTGGTGGCTCAGTATGGGGAACAGCAGGCCTGGGACCTGGCCATCCATACCTGGGAGCAGATGGGCCTGAGGTCACTGTGTGCCCAAGCTCAGGAAGAGGCAGGTGAGTAGACAAAGGACCCCTCTGCCTACTGGAGAGCTCCTGGCCCCCACTCCTCCCCTGCCCTCTTGGGACCCCACCATCACCACTGAACTCTCCCTGCCAGGCCTTCCTCTGGACAGTGACGTGGAACTGCCCTGTCAAAGGGAGATTTATGCCCCAGACTAGGCTCAAGCCAGAAGGCTTGCTGGGGGTGTCCTTGCTGCACCTCAGAGCCCCACACCTTCCCTCTTCTATTCAAGTGCATTCCCGGGACCTCATGTGGTCCCCATAGTACCTGGGAGGGGGCGTCCAAAGGGCCCAAGAAGGGAGAGAGAGAGGTTGACATTCAGAAGGACACCGGCAAGGGTGGGCATGGGTTTTAGACCAAGCTCCCAACTGGGGCACTTGCCTGGCATTGTAGTTATGAGCACAGACTTGGGAGCCAGGCACTATCACCAGTCTTGGCACTACGGCCCTGGGCAAATCACTTCACTGCTCTCCACCTGTTTCTCTGTCTGCAAAATGGGAGAGTGAGAGCCCACCTCCCTGGGCTGTGTGAGGGTTAAAAGAGCTCATCCATGTTCAACATTTAGCACAGAGTATGATATACAGTAAGTGCTCAATAAGTAAGATCTCTCATTGCTGTTAGTACTGTTGCTTCTGTTATTATCACTATTAGCCACCCTGAGTGGCAGATGCTGTTAGCCCAGTATGGCACAGCTGAGGCTCAGAAGGAGCAGTGATTTGCACAGGGAGGTGGTGAGGACCAGGACAGATATGCAAATTTCCTGATCCCAGATCAGGGCTTTTTGTCTATCAGTATCTATAACAGCATCATTCTTCAGATAAACTTCTAGAGGAGGTTCTAGAGGACTGCAGTAGGTTCCCTGGTGTCTCCTGACCTTTCTTGGTTGAAACACAACCAGCTTAACATGAAGATCCCAAGCTCAGTTCCTCTTTGTCTCCTTCCTGTAGGCCACTCTTCCTCATTCCCCTACAGCCTAAGCGAACCCAGCCTGGGGTCTCCCAACCGACCCACCTCCACCGCAGTGCTGAGGTCCTGGATCCCTGAATTGCAGGGGTGCACCCAGGGCTCAGAGAGAAGTGTTTTGAGACACCTACCTGACATGTCTGGACACCGCTGGAGAGGTGAGGCTTGCTGAGTGGGGCTGACAGCTCTGGGTGGGACTGTGAGTTGGCAGGCAGGCACACCCAGGTGATCATGTCTATGCATGGGGACCTGGCATGGTAGAAAGAGCAGAGGAAAGACAGGGGAGCCAGGATGGGGTGAGAGGAGTAGGCCTAGAAATTATCTTTCAGGGACCTTCCAGGGCTGAGATTGCACCCCTCCCCATTTGACAGATGGGAAAGCTGAGACCCATGTGGGTCAGGCAGTGAATCTTGTCCCAGGAGAACTCAGCCCATAATATTGATGGACTCTGAAGATCCTTAGGGTCAGGGTGGTCCAGAAGTTCCAAGGAGGCCTCTGCTTTCCAGACAGACCCCAAGACGAGGCTAGGTTTAGTCCTCAGCCCAAACTAGCTCCCTCACATGACTTCTCTATTCGCTACTAAAAGAATAAAATTGTGTCTCTACTTTGCAATGTGTTTTTAAAAATAATATTATTAAGACCCATCTCTCAGCCCCAGGTTCTCTGGGCTGGCTTTAGGGGTTCTCACCCCCACCTATAGTGGGCCCGGAGCTTTGGAGGTCGGCAGGGGCTGGATCTGGTTGGCCCCTGAAGGAAAGAGAGGACCTCGAAGAGACAGCTTGTGAGAGCTTAAAATATATGCAACTAAAAGAAAATAGATGTTCAGTAAATGGTCATTTTTCCTTTCATTTCCTCCCAGAAATCACTTCCTCACTCCTCTACCAAGCTCCTTTAAGTTCTCCAGACTATGGGTCTCCAAGCCATGAGTCACCGAATGCCCCCACATCCACAGCAGAGCTGGGGAGCTGGGAATCTCCACTTCATCCCAGCCCAGTGCCCAGAGAGCAGGAGGCTCCTGGTACCCAGTGGCCTCTGGATGAAATGTTGGGAAATTGCTACACAGGTGAGACCCTACTGAGTTCCTGGTGGGGTGGTAGGGTGGGAGAGGCAAATGCAGGGACAAAGAATCCCCTGGGGACCAGGTTGGCAGGCTGAGCAGAGGTTCTGGAAAACATCTGAAATTTCTCTCAGGAAATCCCACCCTTGGAGCCTCTCCACTGGTCCAAGGCACTGTGTCCAGGAGGCCCCTGTGCATTAAAATACAGATGTGTTACCCAGCACATCTGGGGGACAGCAGAGCAAGGATGGCGGAGCCAAGATAGAGTTACACATCACCTGGTTTACTGGACAGGGCACTGGCCTGAGGTCAGGAAAACTGGGTTCAATTTCCACTGAGCCCCTCACCCCACAAGTGGCCTACAATGAGTCCCATGCCCATAAGTGCTCACTGGACACTCTGTGGGTTAGAACATGTCCAGGGCTTCACCTGTACATTGAACTTAAATTTTACAACCACTCCATGAGATAAATATTGCTATTATCACAACTTGGAGATGGGAAAACCAAGGGTCAAAAAGATAGTCTCACAGTTAGTACTAGCAAAGATAGAATCCAGCCTTCACTCTGTCACGCAGCAGTCCACACCTTTAACTTACACGGGGAGTGCTCTCATCTGGACAATGAAGACAGTCATACTAAAGCCACAGGTTCAGAGGCTCCAGATGCCACAGGCTCCTTAACCACTAAACTACACTGCCTCTCAATGCCAAAGGATGCCTCCTTTGAAATCTGAGAGATGTTAAGTTAAAAGGATTTCTTCTGCACCCAGCTAGGAGTAAACTTGTAGATTTCATGGCCCTAAAATATGTCCTAGGCTCAAAGTGTATCTGTTTACTTAATTATTCACACCTCTTGCCATTCAAAAAAAAAAAAAAGCAGCAGCCATGTAATAAACCTGCACATATACCACCAGAGTCTAAAATAAAAAGTAAATAAACTCATATTTTTAAAACTTTGATAGGGCATATAAGGAAAGATCAACATTCAGATTAAACTAAGGAAAACATAAGAAAGGAATATTTAATACTTTAAGTTCTTTCTTTCTATATCAGAATCACAAAGATAACTTTTTCTCAGAATTATTTTGTGAACTATAAAACCCAAACAATAAAGACAATTAAAACTGAAAAACAGAGAGGAAGAATATAAAGACAGATCAGAGCCATCTGTAGAAGCATAGAAATGCAATAACCTCAAAAGAGAAAGAAACAAGTGAAGACTTACACATTGCTATAAATAAAGATTCTGTTGGTTTCAGGGAATCTAGCAACATAGTAGGTTACACAATACCCACTAGAAATATAGTGGGTTACACAATACCTGTTACTCAATAGAAAAGACCAATGCAAGAGAAGTACATTTTTCTAACTCTAAGGGAATTCTTCAAATAAGGAACTTAAAAAAATAAAATAAAATAAAATAACCTTTTAGTTTCAGAAGCACATGTGCAGGTTTGTTCTCTAGGTAAATTATGTGTCACAAGTGTTTGGTGTACAGATTATCTCGTTGCCCAGGTAATAAGCATGGTACCTCTAGGTAGTTTTTTAATCCTTACTCTCCTCCCACTCTTTACCCTCAAGAGGCCCCAATGTCTGTTGTTCCCTTTTAGTATCCGTGTGTACTCAACGTTTAGCTCTCACTTATGAGTGAAAATGTGGTATTTAGTTTTCTATTCCTGTGTTAGTTTGCCTAGGATAATGGTCTCCAGGTCCATCGAGTTGCTGCAAAAGGCATGATCTCATTATTTTTTATGTCTGTATAGTATTCCATGTATAAATATACCACATTTTCTTTATCTAGTCTTTGGTTGATTCCATACTGTTGCTAGTGTGACTAGTGCTGGAATGAACATATATGTGCATGTATCTTTATGATAGAATGATTTACATTCCTTTGGGTATATACCCAATAATAGGATTGCTGGATTGAATGGTAGTTCAAAGTTTTTTGGGAAATCACCAAATTGCTTTCCACAGTGGCTGACCTAATTTATATTCTTACCAGCAGTGTATAAGCATTCTTGTTTCTCTACAATCTCACCAACATCTGTTATTTTTTGACTTTTTAATTGTAGCCATTCTAACTGGTGTTGGGATAGTATCTCACTGTGGGTTTGATTTACATTTTTCTAATAAGTGATGTTGAGCATTTTTTCATATGCTGTCAGCCATGCGTATGTCTTCTTTTGAAATGTCTATTGGTGTCTTTTGTCCACTTTTTTTTTTTTTTGAGACAGAATCTCACACTGCCATCCAAGCTGGAGTGCAGTGGTGCAATCTCAGCTCAGTGCAACCTCTGCCTCCTGATATCAAGTGATTCTCCTGCCTCAGCCTCCTGAGTAACCTGGGATTACAGGCATATGCCACCACACCCGGCTAATTTTTGTATTTTTTGGTAGAGACAGCGCATTAGCTAGGCTGGTCTCAAATTCTTGACCTCAAGTGATCTGCCCGCCTCAGCCTCCCAAAGTGCTAGGGTTACAGGCATGGGCCACCTCGCTCAGCCATTTGTCCACTTTTTAATGGGATTGTTTTTGTCTTGTTAATACGTTTAAGTTCCTTATAGATTCTGGATATTCAAACTTCTTCAGACGGATAGGTTGCAAATATTTTCTCCCTTTCTGTGGGTTGTCAGTTTACTTTATGGGTAGTTTCTTTTGCTGTGCAGAAGTTTTTTCGTTTAATTAGGTCCCATTTGTCAATTTTTGTTTTCATTGCAATTGCGTCTGGCATCTTCCTCATGAAATTTTTGCCAGGACCTTTGTTCAGAATAGTATTTCCTAGATTTTCTTCAAGAGTTTTTAAAGCTCTAAGTTTTACATTTAAGTCTTTCATCCATCTTCCATTGATCTGTGTATATGGCATAAGGAAGGGGTCCAGTTTCAGTCTTCTGCATATGGCTAGCCAGTTATCTCAGCATCACTTATTGAGTAGGGAATCCTTTCCCCATTGCTTGTTTTTGTTAATATTATCAAAGATCAGATGGTTATAGGTATGCAGCTTTATTTCAGGGCATTTTATTCTGTTCCATTGGTCTGTGTCTGTTTTTGTACCAGTAGCATGCTGTTTTGGTTACTTTAGCCTTGTAGTATAGTTTAAAATTGGGTAATATGATACCTCCAGATTTGTTATTTTTTACATAGAATTGCTTTGGCTATTTGGGCTCTTTTTGGTTTCATATTAATTTTAGAATATTTTTTCTAATTATCTGTAAGAATGTCATTGGTTGTTTGATAAAAATAGCATTGAATCTGTAAATTGCTTGGAATACTATAGCCATTTTAACAGTATCAGTTCTTCCTATTCATGAACATGGAATGTGTTCCATTTGTGTGTGTCTTTTTTGATTTCTTTCAGCAGTGTTTTGTAGTTCTTACTATAGAGATCTTTCACATTCCTGGTTAGATGTATTCCTAGGTATTTGTGTGTGGGAGTGGGGGCGGCTATTGTGAATGGGATTGCATTCCTGATTTGGCGCTCAGCTTGGATGTTGTTGGTGTATGGAAATGCACCAACATTGCACAATGTCACATATTACTTATTACCCAATATAATAAATTGATTTTTTTATCCTGAAACTTTGCTGAAGTTATTTATCAGATCTAGCAGATTTGGGGATGACCCTAGGGGGGTTTCTAGGTGTTAAACCATATAATCTGCAAACAGAGATACTTTGACTGCCTCTGTTCCTATTTGGGTGTCTTTTACTTCTTTCTCTTACCTAATTGCTCTGGTTAGGACTTCCAGTACTGTGTTGAACAAATGGTGAGAATGAGCATCCTTGTCTTGTTCTGGTTCAAGAGAAATACTTCCAGCTTTTGCCCATTAAGTATGATGTTGGCTGTGGTTTTGTCCTAAATGGCTCCTATTATTTTGAGATATGCTCCTTCAATGTCTAGTTTGTTGAGGGTTTTAACATAAAAGGATGTCAAATTTTATCAAATGCCTTGAGGTGATCATGTGGGGGCTTTTTTACTTCTGTTTATGTGATGGATCATATTTATTGATTTGTATATGTGGCATCAAACATGCATTCCAGTGATAAAACCTACTTGGTTGTGGTGAATGCACTTTTTGACATGCTGCTGGATTCAATTTGCTAGTATTTTGTTGAGAATTTTGGCACCTATGTTCATCACAGTTGTTGTCCTTAAGTTTTCTTTTTTTGTTGTATCTCTTCCAGGTTTTGGTATCAGAATGATACCTCACTCAGAGAATGAGTTAGGGAGGAGTCCCTCCTCCTCAATTTTTTTTTGAATAGTTTCAGTAGAAACGGTGCCAGCTCTTCTTTATATGTCTGGTAGAATTCAGCTGTGAATCTGTCTGGTCCTGGCCTTTTTCTGGTTGCTAGAATTCTTATTACTGATTCCATTTTAGACTTTGTTATTGCTCTGTTCAGGGTTTTAATTTCTTCCTGGTTCAGTCTTAGGAATTTATCTATTTTTTGTAGGTTTTTCTAGTTTATGTGAATAGAGATGTTCACAATTGTATCTGAGGATTTTTTCTATTTCTGTGGGGCCAGTGGTAATGTCCTCTTTGTCATTTCTGGTTGTGTTTATTTGGATCTTCTCTTTTTTTTTTTTTCTTTATTAGTCTAATTGGTGTTCTATCAATCTTATTTATTCTTCCACAGAATAAACTTTTGATTTTGTTGATCTTTTATGTGTTTTATTTCCATTTCAGTTTCATTCAGTTCATCTCCAATTTTGGTTATTTCTTGTCTTCTGCTAGCTTTGGGATTGATTTGCTCTTGTTTTTCTAATTCTTCTATTTGTGATGTTAGGTTGCTAATTTGAGATTTCTCTAACTTTCTGATATGGGCATTTACTGCTATAAACTTACCTCTTAACACTGCTTTATCTGTATCCCAGAAATTTGGTATAGTATATCTTTGTTCTCATTGTTTCAAATAATGTTTTGATTTCTGCCTTAGTTTCATTGTTTACCCAGAAGTCACTCAGGAGCAGGTTGTTTAATTTTTTTATTATGCAGTAGTCCAAGAGTG